TCTATAAACAATTGCCATTCATCTGGATTATAGAGAACACACAATATTGTCATTAATCCCTCAAAGTCTTGTCTTCGCCAAAGCAAAAAAGTACCTTCAAAAGCAGAATAATGGGCAAAGGGGTCGCGTGTTTCTAAACTCTGAATTTTTGTAACGGAAGTAAGTATTAGTTTTCCATTTAGAGCCGTGTAGTTCCGATTATTTTTCAGACGAATTTAGGTCATGTGCATCATGTGTGGTCAACATTTTGATCTTCCTGCTCTAGCCATTTTCTCTCTATCTCTCTCCCTCCCTCTCTCTCGCTCTCTCTTTTTTTTTGACTGAATAAATCAAATTATTAAATCCAGCAATACAGACAAGATCCAAGAGCGTGGTGCAAAACCTGGCATGGCACAAAGCATCGGAGAGAGCGGCAGTTGGACGCTCTTTAGTTTCAAAACTATTTCATGTACATTGATATTGCTGCAATATCTTGAATACTGAATGTCATTTAAAGGAAAATGTATATTTCTAAAATATTAAAAGATCTTTTTTGAACATATCTGGGGGTTGTGCAACCTACGCACAAGCCGCCACTGTCTGACCTTAAGCTATAACTACGATTCCGACCTAATTCAAAATGAAAATGATTCAGATGATTTTAAAAAAGATTCTACATATGAAGACAATAGCTGTTGAACAGAAATTTACTTTTCCAAACAATAAAACCTTTTGGCCTGATTCGAGATTTAAAACTGTCTAAAGAGCAAGCAGAAGTTTTTACTTCCACAGAGAAAGTCTGTAATAAACTTCAAAAAATTTAAAATTGTTATTGTAGCCGCCATAGAGATTTCGAAGATTCCATCTGAAAAAAGTAGTGGTGTTTGTTTTTTCTAATCATATTTGTTCTTAAATGGAAACTCACAGGCCTGAACAGTGGTGAAGGTTCGAAGACTCTCCTAGAGTCAGTTTATAGGCTGAGCTGCTACAAATTGGAAACGACCTTCCTTCAATAACTAGCGCCGTTGGTATTATAGAGACAAAAAATTAATTTCACTAAGTCTACCACTAGGTTCGTCAGAGTGAGTACAACATTTAGAGTTAGATAGCTAGTTCCTGCTAATTTTAATAAAAATTATAAAAGAATCACATCAACATCACACAAAACTCCTGCCTGATGGAGAAAAACTGTAACATTTAAATACAGCATGAAAAATACTTCTAGAATCTGTTATTTTCATTCTTGTGAAAGAAAAAGGTTGTTTTTGTAGACTAGTGTTATCAGTGCGCGTGACAACGACCATGCGTATTTCAATTTTCTTTTTTTTTTTCTTATTGTGCACAGAGTGTACTTTTATATGAAAAATTTCATTGCTGCTGAAACTGTCATGATTCTTTTGGAGAAGTTGATAGAATATTCCGAACTTCCTCCAGTTTTTGCTGTGTGAGCACAGCATTTTTGCAACAGCGTTTCCAGTCAAATACCCACCCTGTCTTACGAAAGCAGCAGCAGCAATATGGTACTCTTGTTCCGAACAGACTCAGATGACATTTTTTTTCTGAAACCTGCATGACACACTTTGAAAGTTTGCGTTCGGAAATACTCCACCACAAATCTGCGTTGCTGAGGCGCATCGTATGTTAACTTGAAAACAGTGAATGAAGACTCATCAGGTACGGCCAAAAACAACTGGTTGGGGGTAGGGGGTGGTGTGAATGAAGGGTTTGTCGTAGAAATGCAGTCAAAGGAGCTGTCCCAGAAAAGTGTTGCAATTCTTTCAGTTTCCTTCAGGGCCTCGAACAGCAGGGTTGCGGTTTAAAATGATCACCCGCTACTTGTAGGAAGACGCCCCCTTAAAATTGCGCATTGCTATCTGAAGACTAAGTTTGATTAAAACATTGGGTGCCGTTTGTGAGACTTCATGTAAAGTATCCTCAAAATATCAGTTTGAAACTCCCAAAGCCTCGAGTCCAGATTGATTAGGGAATATCAAATTTGAAGAAAATCGGCTCGGTTTAGGCGCTGGCATTGACCACAGACGGACGTTTTGCCGTCAATCGATTTTTTGGTATCGTGGACCAACAAGATGGATTCTGACTACACCATGTGCTAGAGGCTTTTTTCTATAAATTTAGCAACATGATTTATTCACTTTTTCGTTACCAAAGTCCGGCAAAAGTTTTTCTGCCGGTAATTCGCCTTTTTCAGGCATACGATTACATAACTTTCTCTTCTTACGAAGAATTTAGTAAGGTGAGGAAATAGTTTTTGTTTATTTTTTACAAATTATTTAATTAAATATTGACAATGCATTGTGGTGTTCATAATTGAAATCTTGTGTTTAATGGTGCCATGAATGAGATCTCAGAAGTTCAGACACTTCACTATTTGCAGGAATGAATTTACGTTTTCTTTGGTAATAGCATTAATAGGTGGAACATCAACCGTGATTGATTTGGACAAAAACATTTTACATTAACTTTTCCTTACAAGATAATCACGGAAGGATTCCTTTATAGCTATTCTATTTGGGTATTTTGATATTTTGCGAGCCTTAAGAAAAGCTACATTTTCTAACAAAATATCTGAAGCGAATAAGACCCGTAACTTAAAAAAAAATGGAAAAGTTTGAATGCTTTCCATGTAGTACTGGATTCCAAAATACTAACATCTAAAACTGTTTCGAAATACTTTAAAAGCTCTAATTATGATTTGCAAACAACACAGGTTTTACTGGGTCATTAGTCCTGTTAGTGAAGTGCAAGTTTTCCCTCAGGAGATGGCAGTGATCTGCTAGACAGTGCGATCCGGCGCTGACCTACCGTTAGCTTGCGAATTTCCCAACCAGGTATCTCCCACCAGCGGGGCACCGCCCCAGACGGGACAAGCTCTAAGATCTCGGCATGTGTGGTAGTATGGTGCTTGTTAGTGTACGTGCGTTTAAGTGGGGAGGATAGGGCAAGAAAGACGAAGCGCCGCGCGAAGATCGCTTGCGGTCCGTGACCCGTTCGTTAGGGTACTGCTCCGGCATTCGTGTTGATCGCAGAAACCATGGAAAACTGTCGATCAGTGCTGATGCCCGCTAGAATTCTCCCCCAGACAACAGATGAAAGGAACCTAGCTAGTGTTGAAAATCCTGCCACCATTGGGACTCGAACATTCCACTCTGAGGCACTGCAGTGACATCAGTTGATACCCTGAGCCACCACTCCCGGTACAAAGAATTCAAGACTGCTCAGAATCACTTTGATGATTTGAAAAATGTTGCATAGAATTACCCAGTCTGGAATGTAGTGAAATTTAGCGATATACTCCAGAAAAGAAAGGATATTTTGACGAACTGCGCAGGGAAAACAACTCACTGATGGCAGACTAAGATACAAACCTAATGTTTACTACAGACATCAAGATATTGCCATTAACCAGTTGAAGCGAAGATTAGTTGGATTTAAATATACAGTCACAATTTTCAAAGTGATTCCACCACAAATTTTGATAGCTCTTTCAGACGATGAAATTTAAGAAGCACAAAGTCTTCAAACAAAATATGCTGCTGTTACGGAAAACTTTTGAGTCCCAATTATTGTCTTTGTGCATTTGTTAAAAGAGTGAAATTTTAAAACACAAATTTGTTAAAAACCTTGCAAACTAATTAATAATTGAATTTTATTCATTATTAATAAATTTTCCTGATATGAGGATACTGTTGCCATTACATTTGACACTTTCTGTCAGTCATGAGTTATTTTCAATATTTAGTGCATTTGGAACTCTGTGGGACAATTTCATTTGTGGAATAGTCCAATTAAATACCACTTGTACTTTGGAAATTCTCAGATAAATCCACTCCTTGCTTCAAGAGTCGACAAGATCCAAAGCACACGTGGTATTCCTTACAATATATTTGTAAATGCAAAGAAAAGACCAAAATTTAATTTTGAAATTATAGCTTGAAATTGCAAAAATGATAATTTAATTTCTGTTATGGATTGTAATAAATGTTGTCACTCCTAAAATTCAGCATATAATCACAAAATTACAGGTCTTATTAGGGGGCTCCTGTATTGTGATGGTCCAAGGGCCTCCTCTGTTGAACCTTAGTCAAGCACCAACAAAACATGGGTTTTTTATTACATACCTCCCGCAACAACTACACTAGGATTTATTCAACTGTGTATTTGAAGTAAATCAGCTGTGCACTGTTTCATCCAAATGTGAGGTTGAGTGTAACATCACTGTAGCGTCATATAAGCTCCCAATTCGATGAACCCACAACAGCTGATTTACTTCGAATGCACGGTTGAATAAATTCTAGTATACACTAAGGAATGGATTGAGAAATGTGCAACTAGAAATGTGGAAAATCGAAACAAGGGACTCTTATCGACCCACACACTAGTTTTCCTGTTTGCCTCAACAGGGGCAAAAGTGTTCCTTGCACGAGTTTTCTCGGACACATTTCTACTCTTCATTTGTTCTACATTTAAGCATTCGCTGCCACAGGAAAACATGAAACAGTGCATAGAACAGAGTGAGGCTATAATATTTAGTAGTAAAAGATGAGATAAACAACCAGTTTCTTAATTGTTTACTTGAATTTTCTCTTTAAACGTTAATGAACAAGAAGAAAACTTAAGTGAAAAATATTCTTACTTGAATGAAGCCCGTTCATATTGAGCAACATAAAAATCAAAATTTGAAGAAAGAAACTTGAAGGGATACTTTGAAAGAATGGAATTAATTAATTATTTTTCTGAATTCTTATTGTGAATTTTATTATGAATTATTTGATCATTCACCTTTTATTCATAATTCAACCAAAAAATACAGTAAAACAGTAGAGATTACGGAGCTCAAGAAAATATGCAGATTGTACTTTTCCCCCCCATGTCATGTAAGTTCCTGTATTGTTTTTACATTAAATTATCATTTGTACGCAATGCAGTCATGGATTTCTCATCAGGCAATTCAAACGCATTAAAAGGATGTTATACGATTATGGTAACAAAACAAGGATTGCACAGGTTAAAATTACACAAGAGCATTTAATAAAACAAAAAATGAGTCTCGCAGCTGATTTCATAGCTAATTGCTGTCTCTCATAGATAAGTGCTCTCTGCTTGTGGCACATAAAGACATTTTGAGCCATTGAATAATCTATTTCTAGTGTGTAGACGCAGTCTCATCAGCCTCTTTCCTCATTTCTCGCAACGCACATCCCAGTACAGTCTGTTACAGGTCTAACGATTTTGAGGAAGTAATTTACTACACATAGAGGAACAAGATTTATCCGCTTTTTCCTTACTAGGCAATAAGAATTTTTGTGTTGAAAATTAAGTTTTTTCCTTCAGCATTACAAAACTCTCAATATTGCATAAGCACTAGCAAGAAAGTAAAAATTGAGTGGTGCAGAAAATATGAGTATTTTTAATAATGTAAAAACAATAGTAATAATAAACAATTTATTAAACAATTTCATGCCATTTACTTTTTATGTACATATATCCATTCCGTATAATACATAACTTCCAATTCTCAGGGACTTCCTTATTCTCTCATTTCAGTGAACGTGTTTTGTCCTATTTTAAAACAAACGTCTCTCTGTGGAGTGTTGTCGGTCATAGTTTCATGATAAATTGCAATCTCACATCTGCATTATATGCCCCATACGCATTCATACGCATCACAGTACGAACAATCCTTTAATCACACTCAATCATTCGATGTGAAAATTCTGCAGTCACCACCAATTTTCACAATTCTATATCCTGACATTGAAATTACTTTATTTTTCATGAAACTTCATTGATGTAAAACTGCTTGTATTTTAATTTCACAGCCACTAACTATTACTTTAAAAATTCCTGTACAGTTGTTTTATTCTCACTTCTCAGTCCACTGACATTTCTGCATCTAACTCTCCATCTTGCATTTCACTTTCTTCTGGATCTGATAAATCATCCCAATTTTCATCGAAATCGCTATGTACTACTTTGTCATCAGCCAAGTCATCAATATCTTCATCTGAAGAATCTAAAAAAAAAAAACCAACAAAACCATTATTCACTAGTAAATATCACTTAGAAACAAATAAACCAATTAAGAGATTAAAACGAAACTTTTGTGCTTAATGATTCAACATATATTGATAGATTACTCTTACAAAAAGATTAAAAAAGAAATAAAATTGAAAAAGGGTTTATGTAGCTCATAGTTGTCTTCAATACTCAATTTCCCATTATTTTTAAGCCTAAAGGCAAATCAAAATAGGAAAGAAGTTAGAATCCACACTTACAAGAATCCTGATAGACAAGCTGACTGTCTGGGACTAGCTGCGTATTCTTTACTTGGGCCGCTGTTAACTGGTCCATAAGTAGATCCAAACGACCACGAAGCCGTGAGAGAGGGGTTAATTTCTCTAATCTTGTCTCTACCAATCCCAACACTGGTGCAAAGCATTCCATAGCTCCCGGGCTAGATAAAATTTGACTGGCATGGATGCCTATCACTGCACGTAACCACTGAGCAGCAACTTGACACCTGTTAACAATAAAAATAACAATAAAAACAAACTTTTCAGGAGGTTTTTCCTCAGTCTGGAAGAAGTACTAATGGAAGTTATATAAGAAGTTCCATCTCTCAAGAAACATTCTTTCTCCAAGTGATGGTCCACTTATACTTCACCACGAGGGGATATGGCAGTCTTGAGGGCGATGTTGGGGACACTACGCTACAGGGTCCTGGTGCCTTGGAATTACCAGTTCTACTGATTACGTGCTGTAGCTCATCATCAGTGACTTAGTGGTATCATTTTCGTATCCATTGGCATGATGTTTATCAGTTCGCCAGGGTGGTATGGGAATAAAGTCACAATTTTCCGAAGAATGATAGGGCAAGTTGGAGAATGGGTATGCGATTTTATAAACTTACCCATAACTATCTTGAATGGCCAACACAATACATCTTTATTAACTTCATAGCACAAGCTTTTAGTGCAAAGATGGTTATTTTCCCGGTTTGCGGTCTTGCGGTTGGGGTACTACATTCTGTGCCATTTAATTATGAAAGGGAATAAAATAATATGCTTGTAGTCTCTCTCACAAAAGTCAGTAGTGGTGCTACAGAATGGCACAGACTTTCTCGTAGTAAAATTGTCTAATTTCCTTGGTGTAAGATAGCTTTACAATCTTGCCCCCATTATCTTGGCAGCTGTCATTTATCGACGTCCTCAAAACATTTTTTTAAAAAAGTATTATTGATTATTTGCAGACAATTTTTCAACAATTTACTACTAAATAAAGTGATAATTAATAAGGGTTAATAAATTAAATAAAAAGGATAATTAATTTACAAATAGTAAACATCTCACAAATATTTAACATAAAATGATATATCTCAAACCCATTGTTCATACTTCTATTGTTTAAACTTCAATCCGTTTTAAACTCTGTAATATCTATATTTAAATCGAAATTGTGTCCAATTTCATTTGTCGCCCATTATAGCATAATCGAAAAGATAAATCACAACAGCAAAATAAACAAAAGATTAATTTATAGAGTAGCCAAAACACAAATTTACAAAATCATATGTATTAAAATACAGTTTATTGTAAATTCTTAGTGAACTCATTGAGACTAAGTCTACTATGCCAGTGTCATAATGGCGGATAAGTTTTTGTTTCTTTTTAAAGAACAGAATATAAACCTGAATAGAATATAATACCTGAATAAACACATATGAAATATAATAGTACACACCTGAATAGAAGGTAAACATTCAAACAAAAATTAGAATACAGATTTAATTAGACTAGCAATTTTCTCTTTGCTTCTCTGACAAATTTTGAGCTAATCAATTCTCATACACTGAAATGGTTTTCGTTTCTTAATTTACTAATTCGAGCAAAGCAAATTGTTAAGAGTATACAGAGAAGTATATAAAAGTAGCAAATATGTTTATTTTCATCTTGTTGCTGTGGGAACTGGAAACCTCAATTGATGCAAAAAAAATTGACAGTGAATTTTGTTATTAATTAATTTGTGCAGATAAATTACATCATTATATTCTCTCAGTGAGGAGAATGAAGGAATATGAAGGAAATTGACAATGTGCAATACTTATGATCAGTAAATGGATCTGGTTAATTACGATGAGTTGCTTCAATTCTAAAAAATACATACGTTGGAGCATTTCTAATTTGTGGGTATAAATATGAAAAAATGGGGACCAAACTAAGAATGGATTTAACAATATAAATATTTTTTTCAATGTGTGAATATTATTGAACTCATTACATGTTCTCCTAGTAAGTTGGGTTGCTTTGTTAATCATATAATCATTGTGATGCACAAAGAATATCTTGGAATCAAAGCTAATGTGTAAATCACAAATAAAAGTTTCGTAATAACACTTTTTCTAATAAAGTTGAGTTAATTGAGCACGCATGTAAGAAAGGAGCTTTAAACCATGAAAAATTGATTTATTTACATTTCCCAGGGTTAAAATGAGATCAATGTCTTCACACCATTAACTAAACAATTGAGAGCTTGTTGTAATAAAAGTAAATCATCACAGCATTTAATTTCTCTCAAAATTTTGCAGTCATCTGCATAAAGCAAGAATTCAGCATCTTTGAAGCAATGCTAGATCTTTATGAAAATTATGAAAAGCAGCGAACCTAGATGGGAACCCTGAGGTACACCAGATAAGATTGGAATACGTGAGATAGTATTCCCGTACTTCACAAATTGAGTTCTATTAGTAAGGCAATTAGAGAAACATTTTAATAAAAGATCGGAAAAGATAAAAACTTATCTTTATTAAATCTTAAACTTATAATTTTTGCAAAAGTAAAGAATGATTCACAGAGTCAAATGCCTTATTAAAATCTGTGTAAATGCAATCAACTTAACATTTTTTAATGGTTTTATTTTTCTACACTATGTAGGATATATTGTGTGTAATAAATCAGACTGGATTCAATGTACTTTTAACTCATGATTCCAATTTGTCTAGTCAGAAGATAATGAGAAATTTTGGGTTTCAATTGATCTGTGATTATAGATTCAAACAGCTTTACTTATTATACTTAAAATTGAGATAGAGCGAATGATGTATTTACTTCCTGATTTGAAGATAGGCAATACAAAGGAAGATTTCGATTCCATGGGGAATGTTCCTTAAGCTAACAACCAATCAAAAAATATCTTGAAGATTTGAGAAAAAAATAAAACTTGATTTCTTTAGAAAAGCCGGTACTCCATCTAGACCTTCACTGCTGCAAATGTCAAGATTATTTTTGTGAAAATTTTTGGAAATGAGATGTTGACAGAGTTTGATCATCTCAATGAAAGAACAAATTATTATTGGGAGGCCTATAAAAGGTAGAAAGTATTTGGCAAAAGCCACAGCAGCATCCATGAATATACTTCTGCAAGGTAATGCGATATGGAGACAAAAATCTGCTGATTCAAAGTCACAAAACATTATCATAGACAACAATGTTGCATAGAATGGAGACAAGATAAATAACGCATAGAGGTGGGTGATTACCATCAATAGATACAATAGTATCACTTGCATCATCCACAGTGTTGTCATTGAAATTAGAAAAAATTGTTTTAAGCATAAAATTTTTATCGTAAACAATCTTATTAATTTAGAAACGATTTATATAACTTAAGGTGTCTGCTAAAGTCCTAGCACATTGCTGTCTTCTGGAGTGCGGTGGCATTACAAAAACAATATTTACATGCAAATTCATCATTTTGCCATGTAACAGAAGGCAAGTTATAATCCCTGAGCAATAACCAGTTTATATCAGAATCCAATTCTATCGTCTCTAGAGTTTCGTGATAAAATGTAAAAATACCATATTTATCCAATTGTAAGCCGACCTACTCTTTTCTCTTCTTTTGTAGTTCAAAAATTGACACTTGGCCTAGAATCGGTGTCATCCTGTTGATATAATGTAGTTCACACCCAACATCTGCAAAGATATCTATTTCTTGTTGGCCACGCAGCTCATAGGTTGGACGTACATAAACTACCACCGTTTGTTGTGTCCAAACGCAAGACACCAAAATCAGAGACATTTCCTAAGACCGTTATTACTCGTGCAAATGAAAAAGGGTGGTTTACCGAAGACATGATGTTACAATGGGTTCAGTTGGTGACGCATTGACACACTGGAGTTTTGTTAAGATTACGTAGTCTCCTGGTTTTGGACTCTTACGTGGCCCACACTACAGAGGTAGAGTGAAAAAATCAGGGAATCGACTTGGCAATTAATACAGGGGGACTAACGTCAATACTTCAACCCCTGGATGTACCACAAACCATTCAATGACAGTTTGAAGAAAATGTACTCAGACTGGCTCTCCAAAGAAGACAGTTCTCACGCCCACGGGACACACAAAACAGGCTAGTCTATCACAATTGTGTGCTTGGATAGATGATGCCTGGAAGAGTATTCCTACAGAAGTTGTCGAAAGGGCTTTTACGTGTTTAGCCCTTAATGGCAGCAAAATTGACTTCCTTTTCTTGGACAAAGAGTGACAAAGAGTCAAGTGAGGTATCTGAATCGTCCGATTACTGCATCTTGAGGCAATGATCTCTAAAATGTATAGAAATACGTGGTCTGAGTGCATCAAGCATCAAATGTATTTCTTACACTTAAATAAATTTTCTTTTATTTCGTTCTTTATTTCTTGTTATCGGTTTACAATCGAGTAAATACGGTAGTCTCTGGCGTTTGTGGCGGAAAGTATACAGTACTGATTACGCAATATATTTGAGTCTATTACATGAATAAGTGCTCGACAATCGCTACAATTTAGTTCAAAACTTTGGTATTTACGATTTACTGTCTGACCCTTAATATACTTCATCATTTATCTCTAACTCTTATTCAAAATATCAAGTTGATTCTGGATTTATTTTTTAGTTGCTTCTGCTGTAATAAAGTTAATTTTAATAGGCTCGATACATTTAGATCTGTTCATGACAACCGTAACAACAGGATTATGCAGAGCAACCTTCACAGGATGATACTTGTCCTTTTCAAACCTACTCAACATCACATAATTTAACCAACAACACAAATATCACTTAGGATATTTAAGACAAGTTCATCCTCAACCTTTTTGCCATGGTTAAGTCAGAATTTTCAGATTCTTCAACATTATCAGATAATCAAATTATTGTGACATTTTAACCTTTCAGTAACCTTTTCAAATGTGTTAACCACATTGGATATAACATTGAACATTGACAATAGAATTTTGGATATCATTGACCCTGTTTTAGTTTCGACAAATCTGCCAAAACCTGAGGCAAACATCTTAAATGCCCTGGTAAATATTGCATAAAAATTTTAATGTTCTCTTCTTCAATTCCAAACATTTAAACTTAAGCCTGTTTTACACGGTCATTTTTTCATCGTTTTTCGCTGGTACAGAAAAGTGGCAGACTGAACTGGATGTAATTTGTACAAAAAATGACGCATGTTTCATTTCTCAGTACAGATTTCATCCAGTTTGACTACCGCGTTCCTGGCGTCACTTTTCAGAACTTTCTCTTGTTTGTCATGTGGGTGGTGCGATTTATTCATTTTGAAGTTTCAAGAATGTTCTGATATGTTGATTTGTAATGCGATGTGATTATGTAGTGAGAAATAAATCATGTACTGTGTTCTAATGTCACTGCATCCCGTGCTCAGTCCAAACATAACCTAACTTAATTTGTTACCATAGATGCGATGTTCAAATGTTTGATCTTCAGCGCTTTTTGTAGCGTCCAGAGGAAGTATTTTCATCACAATCACATTCAAAGACCAGAAATGATCATGTAAAACTCTGGAATGACTTACATCCAGTTTTGGCACCAAAACATAACACTTTCTGTACAGAAAAATGATGAATAAAGGATGCAAAAATGACTGTGTAAAACAGGATATAGAGGCTATCAGATCTATGCAATGCGAAAATGACTCTGACAACTATTGCAGTCTAAGAACTTCTTGCACCTGATGTCAAAGACAGCTTACACGTGGCACACAAACCATTCGTATTCTCAGTTTCCATTATAAAGATGGACCTTCAGAGCAGTCTTAAGTTCCAACCAAGCACTGTGCTGTCTTTACTAGATTCAAACTATTGCGTACGCCTTGGCATGTACACACACGCAGCACCAGCACCCTCCAAGTTCCAGACAGGCACTGCACAGTAATCACTAGACAGACATCAGCACACGGTTTGGAGTGTATCCCTCCATGCAACGCAGCACAAATACCAGCACCCTCCAAGTTCAAAACAGGCAAAAATTTGCCTGAGCCCAGAGGCTTCATGTGAAGAACCCCCAAATTGTAAAGACTATTTTTCAAAATCAAGGCACCAGATCCAAGGCACCAGTCAAGCCAGATCGACCTGGGAAAATCTATTTTGGAAGAAATTGTATGTATGGTTTATGCGCCAGGAATGTTCACATACGGATAGACGTTTTGAAAAAAATAACACTCTTTCAATATCAGGGACTCCAAAATGTGTATTTCACATGAAATCTTGAAATAGATTTTCCGCAGCATTACATAACTTTCTCTATACTAACAATATTACTCTGTATATACATACAAATATACAAGAAAGTAAAAACACTAACTTTTCTGAATAATAAAGATGCCTAAATTAATTATTTTGTGATTAATTTTAGATACCAGAAACAACGTTTCACGTCCAATGATTTTTAAATGCCAAATTTAATCATTTTGCAATGTATTTTATGTGCCTAAAATGTCACTTTTCATACCTAATAGTGTCTAATGTCATAATTTTCTTATCTATTTGAGGTAAGAAAATTATCATTCCTTTTTTGTGCCTAATTACAAGGTCTACTCATAATAGAAATTTTATACACTTACAATTTACACTCATTACCCTATTTTAAAAAAATCTGAATTGTCCTTGCTGCAATGGCATTTGAGACATCTGCCTCCCCACAGTGTACAATGCTTTAAATGCATCATCACCTGATCCACTCTCAATGTAGTGATTGCATCTACTACTTTTTCAATAGTTGGGACAATAGGTTCTGGATCTGTCCTCACAAACTTCTCCCTCTTCTTCTGGGAGGCTGGAAACTATCTTCTTCACAGTAGGCAATACAGAAGTTGTAATTTCAGCATCAACATTAACATAATCACTCATAACTCAGCTCATCTCCAAATTCAACATTAGTTTTGACCTGTCTACATTCACACCTGCTCAACCCCACCCCACCACTCACAGCAAGGCCCAGCAACAATGAAGCTCAGGTGGTTTGTGAACAGCATTTGACTGAAGCAGCATCTTGGAGGGTTTTTCTAGCAAAAGGTCGCCATCAAGAGGAATATCCGATGTACTTGTGGAAGTAAACCAATCCACCATAAGTTTGTTCAACTCATTGTAGGACAATGACCTTACATAGATTCCTTTTCTTGACATAGCACCACACTTTTCTGAATTAACTTCAATTGTGTCTCTGTTTTTAATAACAGTCTTCAACATGGAAATAGAGTTGCAGCACCTTCGCTAACTTTCCTCATGTTTTCACATGTACATCAGCATGCTTCTATAATCGTCTCTTCTAATGAAATGGAGTTCCTGTCCTTCCTCTTATTGTCTCAATATCCTTCCTCTTATCCATGTTATCACCTCAATGGATCTTCAATAATCACCTCTCACACACTAAATACCATATGCTACCCATGCGATGAGACTATGACTGACCGCCACAACAAAACATGTCATATAACAGGATATAATTGGAAATTGCAATGTTCAAAAATTTATGCTGCAATTGATTCAATCAATTTCGACATAAATTATTTTTTAAAAATAAAGAGAAAAAACAATGAAGACAGGATGCACTTTTCATATCAAGTTGTAAATTGTAGGAACAGAATGCACTGAAAATATAGGCTTTATGTCAAGACCTGAAAAAAATTACACAAAAGGCAGGAAAATGTAGAATGCCTAAGCATAATAACAGTTTTCTGATATTTTGTTGTTGCGAAGTTGTCAGAATTCTGGCATTGTTTATCATGATAGCAACAAGTGCAGCCAAATTGAGGAAATGTAAATGCTTAATGGACGTATAATGTACCTCACAACTTTTCCCTGCATAAGTGAAGCAAGTTCTTCAACAAGTGGAACCACAACTTGCACTGGTAATCTTGCAACAGTACGCTTGATAACTGCTTCATCTCTCTGGAGGAGAACGGTATGAATTGTGCGTTTGTCTTTACTCCGCAATCCCTAAACATAAAAAAAATAGTGTAACAAATAAATAAAACCACAATTAGAGAATTTTCATCATGCGAACTCTTGCTTATTCAGATATTTAAATATTTTTGAGAAATTCTTTCACTTGCATAACTTACCTGAAGTAATAGATGGGCAACATTGTCTGCATGAGGCACTCCAGAATCACTGCGATTTAGTGTCAGATTATTCAGGCGTTCCTCCATGGGGACATCACCATAGGTCTTGTGCCCTCGCTTACTAGCACTGGTGCTTGTGCTAACTAAAGAACTGATGTACTGTGCATCCACATCAACTTCAGGAGCCACAACCTACATATTATAATTCAATGTTTCAATAACGATTTTTTATTAATTTTTTTAATAATAGGGTAACACACACAAAAAGAAAACAATGAAAAAGAAGTTAGAAAGAAAAAATAAAGATGCGTGAAATAAAAAAAGGAGTAAAAAAAGCAGAACCGAAAACCTTTAGAGAGAAAAATGAAAACAGGAAGTATAATGTGACAATAGGATATCCCTATGCAGTATTTGCGCAACTCTCAAGCATACAGATGTGCGTTTGTATGTGTGTACAGTTCACTAATGGTCAGGCCACTTCCCATCAACCAATCTACACCTATGAAGTGTCAATGGACGAGTCTTGGTCTCCTGATGGGGAAATGGTAATTTGTTTTTGAATCTGGACAGAAAATTCTAAGGAAATTCTCAAAAACATGGTTTTGCACGTTTTAGAGTTGCGATCATCGTGAGTACATGGAGAATTAAACCATTACGATCTAAATGGATCTATTTAGGATTAGAACCACATGTACAGTGTTATTTTCAGTCTACACATCATAATTTTCTCCCATAGATGACAACATTATTGTTGACAAACGAAAATTGTGAAATCACGCAACACAGTTTGTAATCAATTCATAATATTCGTATTTCATGCATATTTTTTATAATAAATTTGCAAATAACCTTGGAATATTAAATTTGAAGAACATCAAGTAAATACAATGAAAATAAGAACAAAGTATTACTAGACAAATACATTTCTTACATGTGCAAAGATTATTTTCAATTTTCATTGACTTGCAACTTAATCAGGTAAACATACAAAATAGTACCCTTTAAATGCGTATATATATTCACCTTCAGAACATAAATCAGACTGAGTTTGCAGTGTTTTAAAATCTTAAAGAATTAGGGGTGGAAATATGGTAGTGTTGAGTAACTCAGGGCAACCAAATATAGTTGTAGAAGATTTGCGACAGAGTTTTCCAACTAGTTCTTATGATCTTACATTAAGCATTAGATAATAAGGCAGAACAGTTTACAAGACAACATTAATGTTCATATTAGAAAATAAAACATAAAAAATATAGCTGTATTCTAACAAATTGCATCATTCATACCACCAAGTACTTTTTTACGGTAGTTATAATTTTGAAATTGCAATATTACCAGTTCATCCTGTATGGAGGTAATATACACAGAAGAGCCAAAAAAATTGGTACACCTGCCTAATATTGAGTACGGCCTCCGCAAGGATGCAGAAGTGTCGTGACATGACGTGGCATGGACTCTACTAATGTCTGAAGTAGTGCTGGAAGTATTTGACACCATGAATCTTGCAAGGCTGTCCATAAACTTGGAAGATTACGAGAGGGGTGGAGATCTCTACTGAACATAATGTTGCAAGGCATCCGAGATATGCTCCATAATGTTCAGGTCTGGGGGATTTTGGAGGCCAGTGAAAGAGTTTAAATTCACAAGTGTTCCTGGACCCACTCTGTAGCAATTCTAGACATGTGGGCTGTCGCATTGTCCTGCTGGAATTTGCCAAGTCTGTTGGGATGCACAAAGGACTTGAATTGTTGCAGGTTATCAGACAGGATGCTTACATACGTGTCACCTGTCAGAGTTGTATCTAGACGTATCAGGGGTCCCACATCACTCCAACTGCACATGCCCCATACCATCACAGAGCCTCCATCAGCTTGAATAGTCCCCTATTGACATGCAGGGTCCATGGATTCATGACGTTGTCACCATACTCGTACACGCCCATCTGCTCAAAACAATGTGAAACGCAACTCATCAGACCAGGCAATGTGTTTCCAGTCATTACAGTCCAATGTTGGTGTTGACAGGCCCAGGTGAGGTGTAAAGCTTTGTGTCATGCAGTCATCAAGGATACATGAGTGGGCCTTCGGACCTAAAACCCCATGTTGAAAATATCTCATTGAATAGTTTGCATGCTGACACTGGTTGATGGCCCAGCATTGAAATCTGCAGCAATTTGCGAAAGGGTTTCAATTCTACAAGATGTCTAATTCTCCTCAGTTGTCATCAGTCCTGTTCTTGCACGATCTTTTTGCGGCCGCACTGACACCGGAGGTTTGAGGTTTCTCAATACTCACAGTACACTTGTGAAATGGTCATAATGAAAAATTCTAGGTGACCTTAGAGAAGCTATATCCCGTCTATCTTGCGCTGACTATAACACAATGTTCACTCACTTAAATTGTGATAACCTGCCATTGTAGTAGCAGTAACCAATCTAACTGTGCCAGACTAATTGTCATTGCCGACCATAGAATCGTATTTTGATTGGTTTTAGATCTATTTCAATATGCATGGCTTTACCAGTTCTTTTGGCTCTTGTGTACAAGGACATTGAATGTTGGGAATTTTTGAATGGGAGTATAACATTAACAGTTACTATGAGCCATTGGTAAGTCCAATGTCAGATACTGTAAAGACATTTGAACAAAGCAAGGAAAGGAAGAAATGAAGTGTGAAAGAAATTTTCAAAACATGAAAATACTTTTAAAACAGTTTACAGCATTGGTGATGCCACATTCATTAAGTATAAAATATTTCTGATAACATATAATGGTACACAAAAATAACTACAAAAGCCATAGGAGAAAGGAAGGGATGATAAATTACTAAAAGATATTTGAACATTGAAAATGCAAAACATTAAAAAAATTATTTTAACTGCACAAAATTGCACAAGTGAATAAAATATTTAATTCCTAACCGCATGCTGCAGTACAGTGCACAAATTTCAAACCAAACAGAACTGACCTTAGAAGCAGAGCCTTTCTTCTGAATGGTTGCTTTCTTGGCATCCTCTCTCACAAGATAGAGCTCCCGTTCTGAAGTATTACAGCTCTGCAAGCAAGGGCAAATAATATTACACTCATTCAAAGTTGACAATTGTTTCTTGATTCTGCCACTATTGTAAGCAACTTACTATTTTTTCAAAAACTAGGAATGGTATGGTTCCATGAACAAGGTGAATAGTGTTAGAGTCACATAATGTTGCTCCAACAATAGGAATTGGCATGACTGCTTCTTTGTTTTGACTTTGACTTGAACGTGCAGCTATCTGTACTGTGAGTTTTGGTTTAATAGGTTTGGCACACTTGCTGAAATAAAATTCAAACAAAATAATATAAGCAAGAGGGAGAGGAATAAAATAAAAGAAAAACTATTTGTTACATAACAGCTCTTAAATGAACTAGACATCAAATTCTTCAATTTTCAATTTAAAAATTAGAAACCAAACAGCATGTGTGCTAAAGTATGTACTACTGACCCATTCAGCTGCAATTTGAACGTATGCAACACTCCGCTACGAGCCACAGCACACATAGTTGTCGAGTCATTTTGGATTCCAGGACAAACACAAATCCCCGCAGCAGCATCTTCCATGAGAAACTGTGCAACATTTGTATTATGGGTGTCTACACTTAAGCTCCTGTAAGAATCAAATACAGATTTATGTTGTTGTTATTATGCAACTAGTTAATTGTTAGTAGGCTATATCCACACTTTCATTGGAGTATTTTGTAAAAGGGTTAGGAACAAACATCAAGTGGATTTAAATACAGACATATCCTCTGCAATTTTACATTTAATATGTACCTCTAGAATTTCCCAATGACTTAAAACAGACTCAGAAATCTGCAAAGACAAATTCTATTGTATGTAAAACTTTAATCAAGGATACACTCCCTCAAAATTCACAATTTATACTTCCACAACTTGCGAGTGTGAATCTAAACTAAGAAATTTTTCTCAGAGACATTTTTATATGAATTCCCTACACTCATTACTGGAGCCTGGAAGTATGCCTTCTTGTTACGATTTTACGACTAGACAATAGAAATCACTTAATTGTACTTCTGGAGTTGTTTTAGTGGATTTTCATTTTGTCTATTTTAGCTTCTGATGTCTGGCATTTTGCCTTATTTGTACCCTTTTCTGCGTCATTTGTTCTTTTTTATTATTGCTTATTTTATTATAGGGAGAATGTTTATTAAACATTGTGTCTAATGCTCTATCCGAGGGGGGAAAATGGAGTCTTTTTGAGGAAATACACATTTAAAAATTGCCTATATTTCATACAAAAAAATTCATCAAAACTGCATATTTTAGAAAAATTGTACATGACCAAAAGACTGTTTTGGAAGAGCAGATTTCATTAAGGAAAATATATTTACCTTCAAAATTGGAGTTGTAAAAAAATTTTTTGAACAGTTGCAATTTTGGAAACTTTAAGAGATTTTAATGAAATTGATTTCCAAATTTCAAGAAATTTCAACGAACCTGCAGCATTGTTTTTGTGTGTCCTTGGTACTCTTGGAGCAAAAAGTTTAATAAACAAATTTTGAGCCTTTTATGACCAAATTTTTGAAAATCTTAAAGTCATTACTCCAAAAATTAAAATATTTATTTCAAACTCTCATAGCCTCAAGCTCGCTCGGTCTGATTAAGAACCACCAATTTTGGAGAAAATCACCTGAACAGATTAAGTTTTAAGTGATGTGCACAGACAGACTTTTGATGTCAATGGATTTTATGGTATCAAGAAGCAACAAAAAACGGATTCCGACTACACAACATGCTAGAGAAAGCAATTTACTACATTTAGGACAAAGATTTATCCACTTTTTCAACAACACACAATGAGTTTTACTGCTGAAAAATCATTGATTTCTATTGCAGCATTACACCACTTTTTTGTTTTACACTGTACGCACATAAAAAGGCAAGAAAGTAAAAATGTGGGGCAACAGATCAAGATACACAGGTTTGCATGAAGTTAATTTTAAAACAATTTTCAACCTTCTGAATGTATACCAAAGATATGCCAAATCAAATAACCCTAAGGTCATTTAAATACAAGAAAATATAATTACATCAGAAATTGTTAAATTCTATGACGTGGTTACTTCAAAATTGATATTATTTTTTCACAGTTACGTTTTGATGCAATGCTCAAATCATCCAATTGTGTAAAGAAAAAACTATAGACACATGGTAAAATACTTTTAAAAAACATTCTTTGAATATTGGACACAAAAAATTTAATGATGACTAGTGTGCTTTCAAGATTGATTGTCACTGTTCACTCCTGATGGATTTTCCTCATTTTCAATGCATCTTTTTGTAGCAAGAGTGATGTTTACCATATAGAATTCAAAATATTTTGTGAAATCATTACCGAGACAATCCAAAGAGTTTATTTTCTCCATAAAGAAATGTTATTTGGGAAATATCAAGGAGGACTTAATACCATCACAATAAACAAACCTTAATACATGAAATTCTCGTGACAAAAGAATTCTGCACCCAGATATTGTCTCAAAGAAAACAACTATCTTAAACAAGACCCAAAAGAATGATATCAAATCACATTTAGGAAAAATCCAAAAGTAAACATTCTTATTCAACAGAAATAATGCAAAGAAAGCATTCCACTCACCATGCACTAAGATATCGGTCAGTTTTAGCAGCACTTATAAAATAGCTTTCTGATGATGGAGATGCTGGAGGAACATACACAAGTGCTGTTACATCACTAGCATGTCCAGAGTATGTTTTGAGTCGCTCATGTTTGGGAAGGCTCCACAAAATTATACTCCGAGAAGCTGACAGAATGAAGTTTCCATCTGGAAGCACTCGCAGGTAAGTCACTACATCTTTTCCAGCCTTCCACCTACTACAAAAAAAGAACAGTTTTTGTCAGCTGTCTCTGCCACTAACTCACATACTGAATTATTATAATACATACCTTTTAAGAGTTTTACACCCAACACCCCATTCTACGATTGTTTCACCAGCACAACTAAACAAATTTGTACCACGGGACCAAGAAAGACAGTTCACAGATGTTGTTGGGCCTCCTTCTAAACTATCTAACACACTACCACTGGCTATGCAGTACAGATGAATACTTCCAGAAGATGTTCCAATTGCTACGACATCCGTTTCCTTACTTTGTTCTGACGACTTTATTTTCTTTTTTTTCTTTGGAGTAATCTATACAAGAGAAGAAAGTGGGTACAGTTAAATCCGCTATGCGCACAATACACTCGAAGATAATACATTATGGTACACTAAAGGGACAAGATGATAAAACAAAGAGTTTCATTTGGTACAATTCCTGCTTTTCAACAAATTTAGTTATTACAGCCACTTTATTGTTCCTGCTTTGCTGATAAAAAGACCACATGGCTTACCGTTTCGAGAGACAACTTCAGCCATTGCAAACATGTTCCAGGGGAACCTAGATGAAAGTTGGGAGTGTATTCTTGCTTCAATACTCCTGTTTCGGCTTCCCAAACTCTCAACTTTCCGTCATCGTTATAACACGCAAAATACTGCCCACTTTCCGAAAAAGTACACCTATCCATAACCCCCATGATAGCCATACCACGCTTTGCACTTTACGTCCAGACGTATCCCGGTGATCACCTCCCGGTCCAGCGAGTATGTATATGCTTTGTGGAACAGTAGCATGCAACCGAATACTCTTTGCCTGCCACGGAACGACACGGCTGCAATGTTGGCGTGGAACGCACAACGCGGAACATTTGAAAACACGTATTCCCAATGTTATTTAACTTTCCAGAGTAGTATAATGATCAATAGACCCAGCATAAACTTTAAGATGATCTGAAAACTATTTTTTCCTTTCTTTCCTTCTTTTATTATCTTTTTTTCATTTTTGTCTCGTTACACTGTCACTTACGAAATTAATATTTATTGTATTATATTATTTTCCGATGCAAATCTGAATTGTACACTGTATGATTTTGTACATATATTGACTTGTCACACATAGCTTATACTGTATTTACGTGAACATGTATAATAATAATAATAATAATAATAATAATAATAATAATAATAATAATAATAATAATAATAAATAATGAACCTTAAAGATATGGATATGAGGTTGAAAGGTGAAGAGAAACGTCTGAAACAGAATTACTAGAGCCCAGTTGAAGAGACGCCAACAACAGTCAGCCTTCGCTTTTCACCAGACAAAATTGTACAGGCAATTTCAGAAAGGCAATGAAGACCATCAAGGGCAGATTCCGAGCAGCGAATCCTTGGTTCAGTATTGGACTGATATCTAGGCTAAATCAAAGCAGCACGATGAAGGTGTGAAGGTGCCTATTGGCTGCAGGAGGTCACAACATCGACGAGGTACCTCCTTGTGAACTTTCCTTTGCTGATATCAAAATGGCAGTACAGAGAACACACAATTGAAAGCCGCCAGGTCCGGATGGCATCAAAAACGTATGGTAGACGTATTTCACTGCCACGCACCCATGCTTGGCTCGAGTGTTCAATGAGAACACTGATCTGTTCTTTGTGAGATCCAACTATATCAACACAGTACTTTTTGACAGGCGGAACATGTTTAGTGCCCAAAGCAGGTGATCCCAGCCAAGAAATTATTGATCGATCACTTACCTACCAACATATACAATTTTGACTTCCATAATCTCTTCCGTCGACCAGCACATTTTGACTGTTGAACAGAAAGGTTATCGCAAGGGAAATACAGGATGCAAATAATTATTAGTAATTGATAGTGCAATTACACAGCAAGTACGAAAGCACCAGCGTAATATTTCTGTAGGCTGGATAGATTACGAAAAAGCTTTTGATTCGGTACCTCACTCATGGCTTCTAAGAGCAACCATGTCTACAAGTCCTTGACTTGTAAAAAATCGATCTAAGACTGATCGGTTTCTTGAAGAACTACAAGTCAGAATGAAAATATCATTTGGAGATTAAGAAGGAATCTTGCTGCCACCTGACGGAAGATATAGCAATTCGCGGTAGAATCTTTCAAAAGGATTGCCTAAGCCCACTATGGTTTTGTATAGCACTTACTCCTTTGAACAGAATGCTCAGACGATCAGGATATGGGTACTTAGTAAAAAAAGACCTGATGATCCTTCGTATCTCGCACCAGCTCTATATGGATGATCTCAACCTATATGCTTCTAATAAATAGAGATCACTTACAAAACGAGCTTGAACTTGTCGAAAGTTTCAGCGATGCAGTTTGTATAGAGTTTGGGATTGTCAAATGCGCTACCCTTCATGTTGTCCCTAGGCAAGTCCAAAACGGAGAACAAAATACGCAAATATCTTGGGACGCAATCATTAAAAATATCGGCATGGAAGACTCCTACAAATATCTGGGAATGCTACAGCTGTTGGACATATTCAATTCAGAAACAATATTGTACAGAATGTGCTATCAAAAGTAAATAACGTCTGAAAAAAAAACATGGATCAATTCAAAAAGCAAAATATCTGCTATTAATACTTGGGCTATTCCCACAGCAACTTACAAATTTGGGCAGAAACATTCTTATAGACTTTTGACGGGAAAATAAGAACTACTCTTAAAAGGTATAAACATCACCACCTTCAGAGTTCAGTGCACATGCTGCGCATACCTCGAGGTAGTGCAAGAAGAGGACTCCTTAATTCGGAGGCACTATGCCGACAACAAGAAGAAAAACTGCGTCGGTACTTTCTGTCCATTAACTCATCTGTGATCAAAATGAAAAGATGACCCCATTTGGTCTGGCACAACCAAGTAAGATTTCTATTACCTGAAGCATCAAGACGCGTGAATATCTGGCAGAGAGAGAAACTTCACGGTAGATTTTTTGCAACTTTAATTTCGGATAACATTGACAAGAAACTCTCAGTGGAGTGGCTTCGAACCGGAGACCTCTTCGGTGAGACTGAAGGATTTCTTTTCTCCGTTCAAGACCAAGTTGTCAAAACCAGAGCAGCATTTGTAATTTTGAAAAATTCAGAGTTAATTGTCTTCTCTACAATTCTGTGTTTCATTCTATTCTTACACGGAATTTAAAGAAGACTGGTGGAGCTACAACAGCACATTCTTTCTTGCATTATTTCTAACTGCTCCGCAATATTATACTTCAACATAAACCTCCAAAAGTGTGTTTAATCAGCAAACATTTTTTTTCTGCACCGAGAGTCGAACTCAAACCATCTTTAAAAACTGGCAGTCAGCCATATTACTACGCTACAGAAACACCGTAAGGTTCTAATTTCAGCTCCACGAAGAAAAAAAATATAATTGTATCAATCCAACCATTTCTATTTTGCATTTCCCCCCCCCCCCGCCAGTGTCGGAAATGGGACTAGCAACATATTTTTACCGTTCGTCGCACTTTTCGAACTGCAATATTCGAAAAATGAGGGAATTCAACGAAGATGAGACCTGCAGTATCTTAGGCGTCTTTTATGCTATCCGAGGGCTAAGTTTCATCTAAAAATTTGAAACCACTTTTTGAACTAGCGATATTCCAGAATACGCGATCATAATAATAATAATAATAATAATAATAATAATAATAATAATAATAATAATAGTTATTTTTATATAAAGATTTAATTTAAAATGTATAGAACTGTATATTCGAGTTTTTTCGTTTTGTCTTCCAAAACAGACTCCAAATCGCACTCTTGCTGTTTATAGAGCTTACCCACTCAAATTGGTCACCGCACGCTCCTGATATATACGAACAGAATTTATTCAGGTACCAGGGCCCTAAAATTAGTTTTGCTGTCGATACGCCATTTTCCGGTGCACGATTACAATATTTTTCCTTCTTACATTCCTAAGAGCGAAAGTAAAAATTGCTGCCATTTTTGAGAAATGATTTAAAATATCCCAGGGGCTTGATGTAAAGAACTTCCAGAACAATGTTTTTTTTTCTTTCAAAATCGCAGAGCTTCGAATGAGAACAGATATGCCGGGGATACTCGTTTTAGATACTAGTGGCACTACAACAGCACACTCTTTCTCGCAATTTTCCTAACTGCTCAGCTAATATCATACTACATAAACAAACAAAAGTGTTTTCAACAGCAAAAATTATTTTCTAAACCGACTCTCGAATTTTGGTTCTCCGAGTTAACTCGCCGTCATCCATATCACTACACTTCAAAAGCAATGTAAAGATCTGAAGTTGGGCCGACGCTTGAAAATGTAATTGCCTCCATCCATTTTTTTGTTGTTTTTTTTCATTCAAACGTTAAAAAAAGCTTTCTTCCATTGAACTCAGTGAATTCACATTATACATAAATGTACCGACGATGCACGTGGCGCATTTTAGCCATAAACAAAATTATTAGTTTATATTAACGCGAACGAAATGCGCCCATCATTATCGCCATTTGTTATCAGTGCGGCGTTACAAGCAACAATGACATCTAGTTCGTATGGGATGCGCATTTTGTCAATTAGCATTGTTGTTACCACTAGCAAGAAAATCAAAATGGATAGAAAAAGATAATTAAATATAAAATTTTTATTTTCAACGTATCTTATTAAGCAAAGCGAAATCATCTATTCGTTTTCCCATTTAACTCAATTAAAGCACGCAATTTAAAACAGATTTCAAATAATTTGTAAAAAATTCATTTTAAAACGTATAACACAAACTTGAAAGCACGAAACAATCAAAGAAATATTAAATAATACACAAATTCTAACGTAGCATCCAACTGCCTAGTAAAACTTCATTTTACGCTCACGAAGCGCAGTGAATTGGGAGCGGGCAAGTCGGCTATGTTTGTCGCCAAATTACATACAAAATATTTATATTTTCAACAAAAATATAAGTAAATTATCATGACCTTATTTGAAGATCTTATTTTGAAAAATAGTTCTAGGAAGACACCGAAAACAATTTCAATGTTTTTCATTTCCAAAACATCAGGTTTTCAGCCACCAAGTGACCTGCACCATTCTCTTAAACGTCCTTCAGACTATCCACAAAAAATTATCAAAAACTATTAAAGACGTTTTTGAGAAAAAAAAAGTTTAAACAAACTTAAAAATTACCTACACTTTTTGCAAAAATGTGCGAATAATAGTACACGATCTTATTTCAACATCTATCTTCAAGGAACACAGTATACTAAGGGGGAAAATCTCATGGAAATTGAGGCTTGCATCATTCCCTTAAACGTCCTTGACACTGTCCAACAACAAGTTTCAATCATATACGATGATGCTATTATTTTGAAAATTTTCTGGGGACTTCGTGTAAAGTACCCCGCCCCCACCCACCCCCCAAAAAATAAAATTTCCGCTTCAAATTCAAGGGGCTGTGGCATCAACCAAATTGATTGAGGAATATCAATTTTGGTGAAAACCGGCTCGGTTTAGCCGTTAGTGTTTTTCACAGACGGACAGACGTTTTGCCATCAATCGATTTTCCGATATCAAGGTCCCACAAAACATGGATTCTGTATACATCCACCAAAGTTTCCACCATCCAGTGTTTCTGTTTGTTTTTTTCCTTCTAAATTTAGCAATTGGATTTATCCACTTTTTCGATATCAGGGCGCTACAATACGTGTTTTCTGCCGAAAATTCGCCGTTCTTTCTCGCATCATTACTGAACTTTCTCTCTATCGCAGTAGCGAGAAAATACATTTTGGTGAGAAAAAAAACAGTTTTTTTATTTGCCCATATTTACACGCCCACATTTTAATTGCCCGCAAAATTACACGAAAACTCTTCATATTTTCAAAATACAGGACATGACCCTATGTCAAGATGTCTTTTTGAGGAAAAATAAATACTATCTTGAATATTGTAGTTACAGCTTAAGTTGAATAAAAGCAAAAGTACTTGAATTCCCCCATTAAAAGATAAAATAATAAAATAAAATGATTCGCTTTTTTGAATGGTTATGGTAATTCTTGCTATTCAAAGCTGAATTCATGGATCTGAAAAACTTTCAACATTGGTTGCTTACTAGAGTAGAACTTGATCTTTGAATATTTCAATTCTCATTCCCGAAAATATACTCCTCTAAATCTATCGTTAATGTAAAGCAATATTTACAGAGCATTACAATGCATGGTGAATTTCTTTAAAATGAAATATGTTTGTAAGCAAGAAAATAGCTTTTTTTTGTTTTTGTTTTTAGTTTACTCTTTTAATAGAACTAAGACTATTAAAATTTCATAGAAGTACATCACAACTTTGCATGCGGAAAAGCAAAAGAAAAATTGGAGATGTTTTAATAAAATAAAATATATTTGTTTCACTCAATTTTTGGTGGAAATATTCATTTAAGCTAACAAATTTTCAAATTTATTCACTAAATTACTTAAACGGATACCTTAACCGTTAAGTAAAGTTTATATAAATATTGAAATTGAACGAATTGTTCAAAGAAATTAAAAATTGTGAGTTTGGAAATTTAAAAGAATTGATTATAATGATCCTATTTCCCCACTGTTCGGAGTAATATGCTTCGAGCAAAAAAAAAAAAGTAAGAGAAAGTATTTACAACCATGTTGTGTTCATAATTTGCATAATATAAATTTTTATATTTAAAGTTCACAAAACATATTACACACCTTAATTTTAAATCTTGAAGTCGTTTAATTTTGGCATCAATTGCAAGGCCAAATTCTCTATCCTATACAATGAATGTCAAAGAGGTTCAACTGAAGGTTAAATTTGATCAATTTTCATATTATCGGAACAATTCTAATACATATTTTAATCCAAAAAAATACAAGAGAAATTTATAAAATGTCATATGAACAAACCCCTAAAAATAGAAGATTGGTGTTGACATCAGAACTAGGTTTTAATACAAAGACATAATATTTTCAATACCAGTCAAACTAAAGCACAGGGTCGTTTGGTTGTGAGAATTTGAAAGTTTTTAAATTTTAATGTTGCAGGATGTATGTAAAGCAAAACATACTTTCTAAAGATGAATACATTTTCAAAAAATGTTTGTAAGACGAAGACCTTATATTGTAGAACTTCTTACATCAGAAATAAAATACGTAACTGGTGTCCCAAAACAAAAATAAACACTAGTAACTTTCAGACATTTGAATGGAAATGAGACAACTAAGTTAAGCACTGTTTCCTGCTTTACAAAAAATATATGAAAACATTTCAGGACGGTTTTCTAATAATCAATTCCCTTCTTTCTACACACTGAAGATAATGCAGATTGCTACCAGAATATCAATTTTGGTGATGTTCAGTTCAAGAGCTAGTGTTAGATAAGTAGTATGTGGAATTTGATTAATCAGGAACGTTCTTAAACACAGGAATTAAATTTGATCCTTTCTCTGCATGTTTTGCCAATAAATTATATTTATTAAAAACTACCAATTTTACTTCTGGATGAAAAAAGGAAGCAAACAGGATTTAGAAAAATCTTTATAAGACATTTAAAATATTTAAATTGCAGTTCACGATTTGTGTATTAATTCAAATAAGTTTCAAAATATCAAGAGTATAAAATTTAGAAATCCAAATATGAACAAATAATCACGGTTTTTGTTGAGAAAATTGTTGTTTACGTTAGTTGCAAATATTTTTAATTGTACACTATGACAAATTGAAATTTCAAGAACTCAATAAAAGCAAATTTCAACCATGAAATATGAATTCATTAGAAATTTTCAGGGGAGAAATGAAAAAGCAACCATAAGTTGATAAACATGGATTATCATCATTATTGAAAAAGTTGAACGAAAGCACTCAAAAAACCACAGCTCCACTATGTTAACATTTTGTAAATAATTTGTATAATTTATACTTAATTTTATGTATTTCTGTAATTTTTATTTATATTCATGTAATTTATCTATTAATGTCTTAATTTTATGTATATTCATGTATTCCTGTAATTTTTCATTTAGCTCTGATAATTGCAATGCAATCAAAGTGATTTTGTTTAAATATATATTTGATGCCAGACAACACCTCTTAATGAATGAAATCAATGCACATTTTAAATTAAAAATTTGGATATTTTTTCATATCTGTCACTCACAATTACTCTTGACACAATATAAACAAACATTAAATCTGCACAAATTTTCCAGATTTGAGGCAATGTGCATTCTGAGGTATAATTTATATATTCCATAATTTGGCGGAAACATTAATTATCATTTCCATACTTGAAATTAAGCAGTCATTTTCTTATTTACAATACTTGAACCATTACATCTACCAGGGAGGATTAAGAGATTTCTCTCCCCATAAAACACTAATTTTCATTGAATCTTCTATTATTTCTTCATAATGAAGACCTATTGGACAAAGAAATTCAAAATAAATTTATTTAGGCAATTTGAAAATGGAGTTGAATTTCTCAATGTACACTTCACAATATACTTGCTTTCCTATTCTTGTCAACCTTCCCAATACACACCTGAAATTATGCCATAAAATATTTTTCAACTACCAACCATGCTTTTCATACAATGGACATCAATCTTATGATTTATTACTCCTCCCCCCACACACAAACATCCCTTTTCCTAAGTTGTTAAAGCGTTCACTGAAAAGCAACAGTTTAAATAAAGAAAGCAAGAGGAGTTAATGAAAGGAAAAACTAACTGCAGTGGACTGGAAAGAAAACAGTTTATTGTATACATAAAACAAAACAACATTTTAATTTTCTAGGTTGTCACTGTACAGAAAAATATACATTTGGAAGAATCCTTATAAAATTTTCACCGTTGACAACACAAGCTGCACAATCTAACAACAGTACCCCAAAACAATTATTTGCAATCCAACAACAAACCTTAATGTTCTAAGTCAAATCGTCTCACTCGAACTCTCTGCTTATAATGATACTCTTTTAGATAACACTTAAGGGCTTTAGGTAACTGTAGTTTGTTTAGTCCATCGTAAGTAGATTTGCTACAAACAACTGCCCTACACAGATGTTGGAGGGGGAATGGGAAGCTGCGATGCAAGGGTATGGTTAACATAGGTTCAAAAAACATGCAACAAGATGGATCCTTGTAATGCTCAATGAGGCCGCAAACTGTGGGAGAAGCAAAAACTCCAGGATCATGAGAATCAAAGCTGAAATGATGATTCCATTGCTCAATGCGAGCATGTAATGATCGACCATACTTTCGAAAACTAACGGAGAACAGATATTCTTCTTGAGCAGAATCTCTGAGAAGAAATGTTCCCTCTGGACGGCCTTCAAGCAACCTTTCTGCTTCATATCTGTCCATTTTCCCCCAGTAAAATGAACATGATGTTATTTCAAGAAGGTCTGGCACAAGGCAATGAATATAATCTACTTGAGTATGTACAGCTCGCTGGATAGCAGGAGACAAGCTGATGTCAATTTGAGATAATGCAGAGAGCGCAGCAGAAGGTATGCCCAAGTGAGTTTGAAATAATGCGGTGAGATTGTCAATTGTCAGTTCTGGTGGGCATAAAAGTTGAATGTGTTTTCCAGGACAAAAGCCAGGTGGAGGTTCCACACCTTCAGCAATTTCTCGAGCCCGTTCCAGTCGAGCTCTCTCATCACAGTCTTCAATAGGAAAATCCTCTGGATTGAAACGGGCCATGTCAATAAGGAAATCAGCAGCTCCTACCTCCGCTGTAGGAGCTGGTGATGTAGCATTAGTACCATTTTCAGCGTCACTGCCACTTGCTAATTCAGATCGTGTAGGCTCTTCTGTTGAGGGAGTTGCATCAAATACAACACCAGCACCTAAATGATGCTCTTCAGTACGTCTGTAGCCTGTGCATACACAATTCTCACAGCCAATATTAGGCTCAGGAATCTCAGGTTCCGAACCTGCTCCTGCACAGTTGCCTCCGCCCTTTAGACGAGCACAATTAAATTTTAATACCCAATGATTACGTTTCTTTTTATTCGCAGCATTATCTTTAGGAGATTGCAAAGGCTTCCCTCTTGTACGTTTACTGTTCATCACAGACAGTGGTTTGGTTGATCCATGTCTCACACTACTTCCATCGCTATTCCCATCTGCTTGCCACCAACTTTGATTTACCTTTTCATCCGAATATACACATTCCACTTTTGCGGGACAAACACACTGTTCACTGAATCTACTTGATTCTGGCATTACATTTCCATTTTCTTCTTTGCATCGTACACTCTCGGTACCATTACTGTAAATACTTTCAAAATGTACATCAACATCATTGGAAGGTGCTACATTATTTGCATCATTACATCTAGCTGTTGACACTGGCTGCGAGATGCCTCCTCCCATATCAACAATGGTTTCGGGAACTACGTTTCCACAATTTTCTTCATCACAGGTAGGAGGGACCACTGAACTGGCATGGGCAGAGGGTAGAGAATTTCTGTTTTCCATTACTTCAAAAAAACTCTTGAAGTCGCTAAATTTTTGGCCCATTACAACGCCTTCCGATTTGTGCACTCAACCTCCGCGCTCTTTCTTGTATGTTCGCGCATTTTGGAAGACACACGACCTGAAACTATAAACACAAATTTCAAGAAAAGACAACAAAAAATTACGCCACCGCCGTTCTCGAAAATAAAGATCACAAAAATTACACACAAAATCTTACAAAAAAATTTGGCAACAAAAACGAGCCAGTGCTGTTCACATCAAAACAGCCATATTTTAAAGGTACTGCAGCCTTCATTAATGAATTGAGGCAGCCATCTTGAAGAACTAATAAACCAAAACTCGTAGCACACAGTAATGACTAAATTGAAAAAGATAGGTATATCCACAAAACCTTTGAGTTCACTAGCCATATGACTTTTTGGGCGTTGAAACTCGAGATTTCTAACTCCGCAAAACACGCCCACACAACAACACTTTTCTTACCACAATAGTCTTCGACGACGAAACACAGAACATCAACTTCAACAGCAGTTTTCATCACGTTGGAAGTGAAGATACATTACTGCAGCTTCGTAATTTCCCCAATCAAACATCTATATGAAGAAATTTCCACCCAACACATTTCCTCATTTCTATCATACGTCTTCTGCCAAATGGAGAGTCGAACCTCTGTCTTCCAGAACGAACTGACTTACGTATCACTTCAGTATTCTCTGGACCACCCAAAGAGTATCCACCCCTGACAGGTCCGGGCAGTCAGAGGACGAATCACACGAATAATACGCCATATTAGACGCCCCAGAAGTGTCGCTACGCTCCTGGTGTCGTTGGAAGGAATTTGACAGTGCAAGCGCGGGTAATACAAAAGGAAGATATATTATTTTCCGTCTAAAAACCATAAAGATGTTTAAAATTAATACTTTACCATAAAAGGCAATGTAAAACATAATAAATGACGTGATAAAAATATTATTATAATCCTTACAACAATAACTCCATGTAACAAAAAAACTCAATAGCATGCACTAAGATTTACATATAACATTGACTTTCGATTTCTCACGAGTTGAATTATATTTACAGGCATTTATTTTATTCATTTAATTGTAGGTTAATTATTCTGGTTCAATTTGAAATGTAATATCTCTCAATAATACGTTATTTGGCGTTAATAATGTTTAGAAAATGCCTGCACTGTAGATATTAACGTTTGAGATATTTTAATTACTTTTCTATTTGCTTGGACGGAGATATCTATTCGTACTTTCTACATACACTTGCCAACTACCATCTATCGTCGCCAAGTACATATTTTTTAATATTCTCAATTTTTTGGTTTCTTAATAGTAGACCCGAAATATAACTTTAAGAATATTAAAGAACAATAAAACCTACACCTAAAGGACAATTTTTAATGAAAAATTTGGAGCCGTTATTAAGAAAATGGCTCTTAAGCGCTACAGTAAACTCGAAATTTAAAGCACTTTCTCACAAAAAAGTTTTGAGCTTTCGAAAACCCTCATTGAAAGTTATTTAAAGCACTTTTACTCACAAGTACTTACAATGTGCTGAAAATGTGGATATAAACGGCAAGAGAGATTTAAAAAAAATATTTGTATAATATTTGAAAAATAATACTCTAAAATGAACTTTATATCTTATTAAACAGTGCAATTAGCACTATCCGTTGAAAAAGCTTGAAAAAAATGAGGCATTTTTGTGAAAATAGCGTTTGAGCGATTCCGAACATGCGGAATTTTGAGTTCATTTTTACAGAAAACTTTAATTGTCGAAAAAACTCAATATGACATTATTTTAAAGACATTCACTCATAAATAAAATAATATTAACAAATCGCCACTAATGTAAACGACTAATGTTAACGACGTGAGAGGCTAGTCAAAAAATCATTTTGGTAATTTTTGAAGAAAAAAATAAGAGAACAATATGGCGTTTATGTCATCTTTTGGGGTTCGTTTAGACTATCACTACCAAAAGTTCAAAGAAAATCTATGGAGTCGTTATCGAGAAAATATTGTTTTTGTTATTTTTTTAAATTGCACATATTACACGCAGTATTGCGCAAAGCTACTAGAAGTTTCAAAAAATGTGTAGGCCCTTAATAAAAGAACTAATTATGTACAACGAATTTTATTTGAAAGATAAATCTCTATCATCATTATTGTAATAGTAGGAAGTTGCGAAAAATTAATAAATTTTCGAAAATTCATAGTAAACTGTGAAAAACAGGCTTATGACACCTTTATAAGTATATTTTTCTCTATTCTTACAAGAAACTTTAAGAAAAAAATTGGAGCCTTTTTTTCAGAAAATTTAGAAAATGTCCCATGAGCTTCATGAAAAGAATTCCCCAAAATTGATGGATGTTCTTCAAAATTACAGAGTTTTGATTCAGGCCCAATCGATTGGGATTTCTTCAATTTCGAAAAAGTCCAATACACAGTTTAGGTGCTAGGGTTGTTCACATACACCAGACAGATGGACGGACTGGCGGACAGACGGATAGTCCGGCAGACAGACGAACAGACCGACGGACAGATAGATGGACGTTTAAAAAAAAAACACACTTTTTCGGTATCAGGGGACCCCAAAACGTCCGTTGAAAAGTTCCATTGAATTCTCGAAATCGATTTTCGCAACATTACAATTTTTTCTGTACTACATATATTACTCCGTATATACGCACGTATACGAGAAAGTAAAATTACAATTATGTAATCAAAAAACGTATGTCATATAATACAGTGTATTTAGGACTATTCGTATACAAAAGTTATAAGTATAAAGATTATATCAAACTGGCCTTTATGTCATGATGTTTAGTGCATTCACAAAATACAAAACCGTACAAACAGCTTAAAGAACTAGTGGTGCTACCAAAGAACTAGTGTTACTACATTCTCGAAGTAAAGTTTTCTAATTTCTTTGTTGTGGATTGGGTTTACGGTATTGCCCCATCCTCTTGCAAGCGGTCATATATCGCCGACCAAAGTACATTTTTTCGACATTTTCTTAATTTTTCGGATTCTTACTAGTAAAAGCGAAATATTATTTTCAGAATAGTAAAGAGGAGTAAAACTTCGTACTAAATAGCAATTTTCATTTAAAAAATTTGGAGCAGTTTTTAAGAAAATGGCTTTTTAGCGTTACCGTAAACGCGAAATTTGAAGCTCTTTTCCACGTTTTTTTTTTTTTTAAGTTTTCGAAAAACATTTAAAGTCATTTGAAGCACTTTAACTTACAAATGAAATAGTGTTTACCAATAACTGGAAATGTGCATATAGAGGAAGTGTTGTGTAATGTTGCGAGAAATATTAAAAAAATGTTTGTGTAATTTTTGTAAAACGTCCCATATTAAAAGTGTAACTAGCAGTATATGTTGGAAAAATTTGAAGAAAAAAATTGGAGCTAATTTTGTGAAAATGTCATTTGAGTGTTTCTAAAAATGTGAAATTTTGTGCTCTTTTGCACAAAAAATTATTTGATTTTTAAGAAACTGTACATGTTATCATTTAAAGCGCATGTACTCATAAACACAATTAATGTGAACAAATCGCTTCTAATGTAAATATTAACGTTGTGAGAGACAATTAAAAAAATATTTTTGTATTTTTCAAAAAACAAAAGAATACAACAGTACTGCGTTCATGTCATCTTATTGAGTACATTTGGTACTATCTCTACCAAAAATTTAAAGAAAAAATTCGAAAAAATCTTCTTTCTTAATTTTAAAAAAAGAAGAAATTGACGTATTGCTCGCAATATTGTGCGAAAACTACTAAAATGCACAAGACCTTAATGAAAGAACTCACTATGGAGAACAAGTTTTATTTAAAGGGAAAATCTCTATCTTCAATTCTGTAGGACGACGCCCGAAAAATATTTAAATCTTAAAATTTTGGAAAGTTCAGAGTTAAACCTGAAAATTGGACATATGCCACCATTATAAGTATATTTTACTTTATTCTTACAAGATAACTTTGGAAGGGTTTTTGAGGAACTTTTGAAAATGTCCGAGGGTTTAATGTAAAGTTCTCCCAAATTTTAAAGGAAGTTTTTCCAAATAAAATGCTTCAACTCGAGCCAGGTCGACAGGGGTTTCATCAATTTGGAAAAAATCCTACGTATGGCTTAGGCGCTAGCGGTGTTCACAGACGGGTGGTCTGATGGTCAGACGGGCATTTTCCCGTCAATAACTTTTCGGTTTCAAGGACCCACAAAACAAGGATTCTGGTGACACCAATTGTTAGAAGACATTTTTGTTCATTTATCAACTGGATTTATCCACTTTTTCATTATCCGAGCCGGGCAAGGTTTTTTTCTGGCGAAAAAAACATATTTACGCAGCATTACATAACTTTCTCCATACTACGTATATACTCAGTATGTACGTACATATAGAAGTAGTAAAAAAATAAAGCCGTTTTTGAAAGAATATCTGTTTAACTGCATTTATTTCGTGCAAAATTGCTTAAAACGTATTTTTTAAAAATAAAAACAAACAAAAAAACATATGCTCTCATTTAAAGACCTAATTTTAAAGAGATTTTATTCACAAGAAAAATCTGTTTTCGTTACTGTAATTACAGAAAGCCGAAAAATGTTTGAACTTTGGCAATTTTTGAAAAATCAGGGATTTCAACGAATTTGAAACCTGCATAATTTGTTTAAGCGTCATTTACGCTATTCGGGAACAAAGCTCAATTAAAAAATTTGGAGCAGTTTTTGAGAAAAAATTGAAAATGTCCTTGAGAATTCATATAAAGTACTCTTAATAATAAAACATCAGTTTCAAATTCAAGCGACCGTGATACCAACCAAATTGAATGGGGAATATCTGTTTCAGTGAAAATCCTGCTAACAGTTTAGCCGCTAGCGTTGTTCGTAGATGGACGGACTGACAGATGTTTTGCCGTAAACCATTTTTTCTGTATCAAGGACCTACAAAATATGTATTCTAACTACACGACATGTTATAGAAAATGCTTTACCACATGTGAAAACAATATCCAATTTTTCGTCTCCAGGATTCGATAATGGGAGTTTTCTGTCGAAAACTGGCCCATTTTAGTTGCAGCATTCTTTCTCTTGACTACTTATGTAGTTTGTGGAAAAGTAAAAATTGCGATAAAAATTATCATCTATTGTAATAACAAGTAATTAAATCTTTAATATAATGTTTATCAAATTTTGAAACTGAATATAAGAATAGTTATCCTATTTACGTCTCGGTAATTTTCTATTAGAAATATTAGACTACTCATCTTCTCGACAAAAATGTGCGAAGAAATGAAACTTTAATTGCGATGAAACGTAATACTTCAACAAATTTTCATCTGATTAGATTACACAAACATTTCTGTGTAGAATCAATACTATGGCCCAAAGAATCCAGAGGCCCCTGGGAATGTGTCGCAATTCCCTGGAATTCTCTTAATTTCTTGCACAAAGTCTGCAGTGAAGACTTCTCGATTTCTTGGGGAAACCAAAGAGAGTATTATTATTCTAGAAAAAATGACGAGGTTTAGGACGCTGGAGAATCGTTCGTTCGTGAACGAACGGTCACTCTCAGCCACGCACACGCATGCGCTGAATGCTGAATTGCGTTGATTGAGGCGTAGTCTCCCACTCCGCTCTCCCGAAGGTGTGGGAAATGGGAGGGGTGAGGGGTGAAGGCTGAATGAAGGCAAAACATGGATGAGTTGTGACATTGCTAGGACCTTTTCTTCATGATGATGAGACACAATCTACTGCAGTGTCAGTAATTGTCTTATCTCAAATAATTTATTTTTTCCTCTCTGCTTGTCTATCTATTTAGAAATTCAGTGTTCTGGAATTTCACTGCAGCTAACGCAAGCATATTGCTTACTTATGTGATAGATTCCATTTACGAAAGTAGCCAATAATAATGAATGATAACGAGGATATAATTCGCGTTGGCTCCAGAAAGAGTGAGGTATGTTTTTTCAGTTCAATGGGTATTATGAATAAGTTGTGTTCATGTGAGATTTGTTTACCCCTTACTGACCTATAAAAATTAATTAATACTTCACATGAGATACTATTATAATATTATTATTGTATTGTACTGGAATTATTGGTAACGTTTTCTTCACAGTTGGCCCTAATCCAGACAAGACATGTCATTAAATGCCTTAAGGATATTTATCCAGATAAAAAGTTTGAAATAAGTAGGTATTTTTACATATTATTACATTATCAGGCTGGACTGTGATTTTGTTTTACATTTGGACACATTTTATTTCCAGTTACGATGATAACTACTGGAGACAAAATTTTAGACAAACCTTTACCAAAAATTGGAGAGAAGTCTCTCTTTACCAAAGAACTAGAAATTGCTTTGGAACAGAAACAAGTTCATTTTGTGGTGCATTCTTTAAAAGATCTGCCTACATTGCTTCCTAGTGGAATGTGCATTGGTGCTGTTTTGCTGTAAGTTGAATACCACTCATGATTAATATTTTGAAATTTAAGTTTAAAATAATGAGCATACTTTATAATCCTTTACGCATTTTCTTTTAATTAGACGGGAAGATCCAAAAGACTCTGTAGTTATGCATCCTGATTTTCAAGATAAAACCTTGGAAACTCTCCCCAAAGGCAGTGTTATTGGTAAGTGTATGCATAGATTTTGTACTTATCTGTTTAATTTTTGAATTATGAGAGCTAGGTCCAGTCCATTCTTCTTTACCTGTAAAAGTAACCTCTTAGAACCTCTTCTCTCTTGGAATTGATGAGGGTTCTGCTATTAGCCGTTTAAATCCTAAAATTGTGAAGAAATGTAATATTTACAATGTGACTGTATTTTATTTCTTTCTCAGCTAAAGTCAGCAACAACAACAGCTACTACAATATGGATCATTTCGGTTTCACATATTTCCTGTAACTGGTGTATTAAATTTGCTGGCGATGAACAGTTATGGCAGTTTCGAAAATAAATATCAAGGGATGCAGAATTGCACGTAGTCTGAGAAAGAATATCTTTGTAATTTCTCAGCAGCTTTTCCATGCAAAATTTCCACCATCAATCATTAATTTTACATTTTCGTTGGTAACACATACTGAACTAATGCGTTCCACTTGCACCAGGAAGCTCACAATCTTTTTGCATTATCTCTTCAAATTTTGAAAAACTAATTTTAATGTCCAGATATTTACGTCTAAATGATCAAGATGTTTCTTTTAAATTAGATAATAAACAACTATTTCTGGTTTTGAACTCTGCAACTGTCTTCTTTCACCAATACAAAATTCTTCTTTCCTGCCTTTACGGTGGTTTATATCATCAGAATACATATTTTCAATGCCTCCTACAGTAGATCTAATTAGTACATCTAATGTAGGAGGCGTTAATATTTTTTATTATTGATGTCTTTAAGTTTTTCCACTTTTAGCTTGTGGTAAAGCTTAATATCCTCCTCTCTGAAGCTACAATGTTTATCATCCGAATCGATGAATCAAAACATGTATTGATTTTACAGTATGGCCAGGCCTCAAATATGGTTAGTATTTGAATTTTAACTAACTTTTCTAAAACAATCTACCCGTTTCTGTATTACATTGCAGTTTGGCCGATGTGATGTTTCTTCAGCCTCCTTGTCATTGTCATGAAAAATCTTTTGGAGAGTCTGATTTATTTTGTTAAGCTTCTTTACAAGATAATTCTTTGAGGGTAATTTTTCTTCTTTATTGGAGTCTCCTGTAATGACATCAAACCATTCAGTTGGTCTAAGATTGTCACAGTGATATCTGAACTGCTAGTTCCACTAGATTTATCGGTGCCCGAATTGACCATTGCTGTTGAGCTAGGACTGACTTTAACATTGACATTACATGCTGGAACATTACTGTAGTCCACGTCTGGCAACAATGAAACTTTCTTGTGACATCACACAAATGCTGAGAACATAAGACAACTCTGTATGTGTCATATTTAGTTTAATGGGCATGTTCGATGTCATATGTCTTCAGGATTTATCGTTTGCCATGTGCAGTTTCAACGCCAGTGTAATGCTGCTCATATTACTACTATTGCTGCTACTACTACAAAGCTACCAACTACACGCCTGTTTTTCTTCGTATACCTAGAGGCCGCCCATAAATTACGTAACGTAAATTTGGAGTATTTTCAAAACCCCTCTCCCCCTTGTTACGCACCTGTAACGCGCGTTTGATCCCCTTCTAAATAATTACGTAACGCTTGTGGCAATACTCCCCCCTTTGTAGATGCAAGAAGTGAAAATAAATTATAGCACGGTAAAGATAATTTGTATTTATTTTCCTTGTATTGTATATTTAAGTGAATAACGACAATTAAAGTATAAATTAGTTGACGACGCTGGTTGCACCTAACAGTAAGATCAGGGCAAGTTGTGAGTGAAGGAAGAATGCTTTGGCGAGATCGGTTTCAGCAGTTGATCACAAGCTACGTACGCGCCGTGGATGATGCAAGAGCGAGGGCCTAATGCGCCAATTTAAAAGGATTCTAGAATATATCTCATAGCAGTTGTGAATATTTTTTTCGAAATTTTACAGATTAAAAAAATGTTGAAAAATATTTCCTTTTATTGTAACAATTTACAACTATAACTTTAGTTTGTTTTTATAACGGTTTAATTAGTTCATATTTTAATGTTTTAGTACAGGACTCAAAAAATGAATTATTACAGCAAATGTTGAAGAATGTGAAAAAATAAATATCAATGTTACGTAACTCTTAAAATATACCACCTACCCCTGTGTAACGCACCGTAATGCTGCCTTAGACCCCCCTCTCCCCCTCTTTAGTGTTACGTATTTTATGTACCAACCCCTACTTGTTTAGTTATCACACTGCTCGTCGCCTTGGGATTGGAAAAGGGACAGAGACGTGTCGGTTCGATTTGTCCTTCCCCCGGAGTTTCCGCGAGCCCACGGTGCTGCCACGGGAGGAGATGATACTACGAAGTGCCTCGTAGGAATCATACGTCCTCCTAGCCCATGATTCATGGGGGAGCGGGGGCACCCTACATTCACCGAGAGCTCCTTTAATACCAGTAGTTGACAAAATACTTCGGTTTATTTACAGTGTCCCTTGACAGATCTCATCAGCTGTTACGGTGTCATCCAATCCGAAGCTTAAACATCCCCCGATTGGATGACACCGTAACAGATTATTACGTCAACAGACACCATGTTTAAATCGAAGTATAGATGTCATTCTACGGCATGATCTCATACCCCAGGACGTAGAGCTGTACTAAAAATCTTTTCTGGCTGCCACAGCGCTGACATATGGACCATTACTACTGTGGACAGAGTCCTTAGGTACAGAGAGTAGCGCATTACATAGTCCCTCCGCTCCCCCATTTTCTTTATTTACGTCAAGAACAGTTAAAAACTGTGTGACGTGATATGAGGAGAAGTCAATTTGAAGTTTTATTTATGTTTGCTCGAGGATCAGGGAAACTGGACGGAAACCCAATCGAGATGGGGGTCATTGACCCCGAAGCGGAAGTACAATACTTGTTTCAGGTTCTTTACAATTATACAATTCAAATGGTATATAATACATTAAATGTCATTGTTAAAATTAATATTACTTTGCAAAGCTAAAGAATCAGAAAGGTGTGTACATAATGTTCCATTATTCCAATTAGGTATTTCTACTCTGAGATGTTGTTTAAGGTACGAACATAACCAATCTTGATATCAAATCTTTATATCCAGTTGTCAGGAGAATTGGAAATGTGTAATATTCTGTGTGTTGAGAACCATGAGTATATCACAAACCAGTATTGATATTCTTGAAAATCTTGATAACTTAACCAATTGCTATAATTTTCCTTCCACTGAATGCTGCCTGGCGGGGCTATTGGGAGAGAGAATATTAAATATAGGCGGTTGCGCTACTCTCTGTCTAGGCACTCTAGACAATTAATACATGAGAGGAGGAAATGCTGAGAATTCCTATTCAAAGCGATTTGTAGTTTTCGCGTCGCGTTGCAGTAAAAATTGTAGTAATTACATTCAAAAGAAGAAAATGTGTGAGGATGTCATTCCTCCCTTCCCTCCTCTGAGAAAACGTCTCCAATTTCTCTTTTTACGAAGTAAGGGGGGAAAAGAAAAACGTTTTTAAAGAAACATCTTAGAATTTTGCTGGAAGGACCTGGGGGAAAAAGCAGTTTCCCCTCGAGACCGTGACCCGTGGAACGACTTCTCTTTTCCCTCGATTGATGGACTGCAAGTGGTCTAACTCCCTCACTCACTCACTCTTTCGGCTTTACTCTCACTCTCTTTCGTTTAGTCTCACTCTCTTTCGCTTACTCTCACTCTCTTTCGCTTACTCTCACTCTTTCGCATTACTCTCACTCTCTTTCGCTTACTCTCACTCTCTTTCGCTTACTCTCACTCTTTTTCGCTTACTCTTCACTCTTTTCGCTTACTCTCACTCTGTCTTTCGCTTACTCTCCTTCTCTTTCGCTTACTTCTCACCTCTCTTTCGCTTACTCTCACGCTCTTTCGCTTACTCTCACTCTCTTCGCTTACTCTCACTCTTTCCTGACTCTCACCCTCTTCCGCTGACTCTCACCCTCTTTCCTGACTCTCACCCTCTTTCGCTGACTCTCACCCTCTCTCTCTCTCTCTCTCTCTCTCTGCTTATCGCTTTACCTCACCCTCTCTCTCTTCGCCTTACCTCACCCTTCTCTCTCTTTCGCTTTACTCTCACCCTCTCTCTCTTTCGCTTACTCTCACCCTCTCTCTCTCTCTCTCTCTTTCGCTTACTCTCACTCACTCGCTCTTTCTTTCGCCAAAAATAATTAATATTTTTGAAAGAAGAATGACTCGAACAATAGACATCAGCGAGAAATCCTAAGCATTTGACCATTCGTGGGCGGAGGTGAGGGTTTGCGGCATAATGGTTAGTGCATTCACCTTCCACCATTGGGACCTAGGTTCGATCTTAGGCCAATCCATATGAAATTTGTGCTGGACAAAGCGTATTATCGGCAGGTTTCTTTGGAGTTCTGTTTTTCCCTGCTTTCATTCTGCCATTTCTCAATCATTCCTGTCATGCACACTTTAGATCACTCATAGGCCTCATGGTTTTTAGAACTTAGTAGTTCTAGGGCCCTTAAACAGCAAATAATGAATGAATTAATGACTAAATTACTAATAAATACTATATAATCAATCAGTGCAAACAAGCCTTAATTGATCCGTAAACGATTTGACCAAACATACCTTTTGGGTTCTGACAAATGAAAGCAAAGTACTGCAGTTCTTTACCTTTCAGTTGAATATATATTTTTACATTATAATGTGTATACACCATTGTTACACTTGCATTGTATCAACATTTGGGGTATGATGCCATGAAAAAGGAGCAAGGGACAGTTACCTCTCCTGCAGGATGTAATAGTAGACTAGATCATCAATGACTTATGCTTTGATATAGTTTTAATATACGAATTTAATTGAAATACTCTTTTACACACACACACACACACACACACACACACTTATAGCAAAAAAGTTAAGAACTTGTAAGATTTGTTTTATCAAGGTGTCCTGAGTGGGTTTTTGGAAACACATGTGATGGTGCCCATGCTCTTGTGCGTATTTTCTTACTCCTTGGTAGACGACACGATTGTCTTATTCGTGTAATTAGTGTTGTTTTTTTTAAATTTAAAGACGTGTGATTTAGAGAAGCGCTATTAATTGTAATATTGACTACTATAATTAGTATGACTCCGTTTTTCATTCTACAGTGATATTTTTATGAAAAACATTATTTGCCTGTATTTGAGATTGCATGTATTTGCTTCGACAGGTACAAGTTCGTTGCGTCGAACTGCGCAACTCCGTCGAGAGTATCCCTCATTGAAAGTGGCAGACATACGTGGTAATTTGAATACAAGATTGCGAAAACTAGATGAAGGAAGTAATTATCAAGCCATAGTTTTGGCAACGGCTGGTTTGATGCGAATGGGTTGGAAACATCGAATCACGCAGGTAAGTGACATAAATATTTTCTTTTGTTGATGTAGTCACTTACTTGCTTAGTCATTCTGGAACTCCGGTAACTGGGCAACCTTGATAAATGTACTTATGAGAAATTTCAACTGTGCCTTTTATAGACACGTCTACCATACTAGATATGAGTATTTTGTTGTTTAAAACTTCGAAAATAGGCTACTATCACAAGACAACTGCGTGAGAATCTGTTAAGAACTTTTCCCATCGTTAACTAGCAAATGTGCTCATATTACACTGTCTGTAGTCGGGAAAATGCATAACTGTCATCGGATCTGACAGAGACCACAAAAAACTTCATAAATCATGTTCCTACATATAGTAAATTACTTCCTCTAACACGTGTAGTCAAAATTCAAATCTTTGTGGGTCCGTGATACCCAAACATCGATTAGCGGCAAAACGTTTGCTTGCCCTATATGGTAAAAGCTCGCGATTAAACCGTTCAGCTGACTTTCTCCAAAACTAATATTTCTCGATTGACTTAAATGTCCTCTGAAAAGGATTTTTTTGGCTACTTTCCATAAAGCTTCAAAATGTTCTCAAAGATAGCTCCCCATTTTCACTTTCTTCCGCTTAGAAGGAAATTCTTAAGAAGAGAAAGTTATGTAATGATGCGCGAAAAAACGGCGAATTTTTGGCAGAAAAACTCTTCTTACTGTAAGGAAAGAGTTCAGAAATCCAGATTCTAAATTTAGAAAAAAATCCTCTAACACGTGGTGTAGACAGGATCCCTATTTTATGGATCCTTGATACCGAAATATTGATTGACGGCAAAACATCTGACGTCTGTCTGTGAACAACGGCGGCTAAACCGTTCAACCGTTTGTTTTCAAAATAGATATTCCCCTGTCTGTGTGGCTGCTTGTGAATGCCTTTAATTTGAAACTGACATTTCATTTTTGGGAGGTACTTTACGTGAAGGCTCTGGGGCATTTTCAAAACGATCTGACCAAAAAAGAGGCTCCATCGATTTTGATTAAATTTTGTTGTTGGATAGTCTGAAGGACGTTTAAGAGAATGTTGCAGGTCTCATTTTCGTTGAATACTAATTTTTCTAAAATTGCAGAAGTACAATTCTTTTAGGCGTGCTCCTTCAACTAAATTAAAGATAGACTTTTTTTCTTAATAAAATCTGATCCTTGAAAACAGATTTTTAAATAAGGTTATATACAATTTTTCGAAAATTCTAGTATTTTTCGTGTAATATAAGTAAAATGTAGACAATTTTAATTTAGTTTAAACTTTTTTTTCCAAAACAGCTCTATCGTTTTTGATGAAATTTTGTTGCTGGATAGTCTCAAGGACGTTTAAGAAAATGGTGCAAGTCTCATGTTGTATTGATAACTCTGATTACGCGAAAATTGAAAAATTCAACATTTGTTCGGCGTCTTCCTACAACAATAATTATGAAGATAATTTTTTAAAATAAAATGTTACATAAAGAGAGATCTTTAAATAAGGTAATGTTGAATTTTTTTTAAATATGAGTTTTTTTTATAATTTCGTGATAAACTTAATAGCCTGCTCCTAATTGACTGCGCTTCGTCATTCGTATCCATTTTGATTTTCATGCCAGGGGTTTCAACAATGCTAATGTTTCGAAATTTAAAAAAAAATATTTGTGTGAAACGTGTCGTGCAATTTGCTGGAGTTGAACTTAAGTGCCGGGGGAAAATCAGAGCCACATGCGTGGGAGGTGTACATACCTGAACGGGCACGACAACAATTATGTAAGAAATGTTTCAATAATCAATATAGACTTTCATTTAATTTACTTTTCATTTGAATTGCTTACATTTTTATTACATATTCGTATTATGAATTTTGGAAACTTCATTTCCGTCATTCGATGGAGGTGCCAGAGAGCAGAGAATGTATGGAGGTGAAACCGTCTGTTGTGGCACCAGCCGCTACTGCTCGCCACACACGAGTATGTTGGAAATTGTCGATAAATCCCCGACTCGCGAAGAGATTGGGGGATTAATCGGAGAATTTCCAAAGCACTAGTTGTATTTATGTCCAACAGTTCCAAAGTGCGAATAATGAAAATAACTTTAAGCTGTGGTAATATCAAAGATGTTTTATAGTACATACGCTCTTTATTATTCATGAACCTCGCGATTGATGTATATACATGACCTACTCTACTGAAGGCCGGAGCACTCAACGTTGCAACGTTGCATCGGCTACTCGAGGGGTCTGATGCTGGTCCAGTTGAATTGAAACCTATGCGTTTTAAACACTGGTTAAAAGCCCTCAATTTACCGTAGCTCTGTAATTTACGTGATGGTTTAAGCATTCTATTATTGAATAATGACAGTTTACGTTAAATCAAAGAAGAAAAAGAAACAATAAATTTCGTTCACGAAACCTATTGCTCATAACGACAGAGTACATTTAATCTTACACTTGCCGAGTTAGAACATGGGTTGAATTACTTTAGTCACAAATTCTGGAATCAAAGTGATGTATTTAAAAAAATGTATGATGCATGACTCGTAATAATAATAAATAGGTAGAGAATTTTTATGCCCTAAAAATCTTGAAGTATGCTTATAAAAATATGCATTTATGACCTAAAAATTCTGAAACATGCATTTTAATTTGCAATTAAAACTTACAGTATTTCATTTCCTTTATAAACCTTTCTTGGTAAAATTTAGGAGACGCGTGCTTCGAATGAAAAGTTATATTTTTGTGCAAATATTATTACCTTGCTTACTTTGCGGGACAAATAAAGTAAATATGCACTTTAGTGAAGTACATTGTATGTCCTGTTTCATTGATTCTGACTGGTTTATATCAAGAAATATCCTACATTTGCCCAAGTGTTTTATTATCTAAAGAAAAGAAAAAACGCAAATTGTGATAAGCGTTTTCTAATCAATGAACACGCGCAAATAAATAGATACTATGGAAACGGTTAAAGTGGGGTACACGATACCCACTCAGAGAAGCATGGGGAAGGGGAAGGTCTCCTTAAGCCCTTCCTCAAATTACGCTACGCGCTCTGATAGAAATTAATAAAACTTATGGATAGGCGATTTTCAAGGGTCGCCCTTCATACGCTTTGTCCCCACCGCATTGTGATGCCAATTTACTTTCAAATGCAAGTTTTCTCTCTTCGCTCACTCGGATCCAAGTCACGGCGAGGCTCGGACCTTCGACCCTATACGTTCACTATACACGTCCTTGAGTCTATCCATCGCATAATTACCAATTCACGTTTATAAGAAATCCCGGTTTAAACGATTTCCGCAAGTTGTATTGTATACTAGACTTCAGCTCGTGAAACGTTTTACAAACAAGTCCCTTTTTTCCATTATCCATTATAAAAATCTACTTTGCTTTTTAACTGGACCAACCTACACTGAAACTTACAAATTTCGAAAATTGTTTACACTTTTACTAATTGCAGGAGGACCTTCTGTTCCTTCTGTTCCCAAAGGATAAAAATATACAGGTCTTCACTAAAATATATCTTCCACTTATCACACTCAAAATCACAAATAAATGTCTTGTCTTCTTTGAAGCACCGGAAATCTTGCCGTTACTGAAGAAGGCTTTATCACTTGGTAGTTATAGTATTGCACTTTCAAAATATATCTCAAGTGTCGCTCTCCATGATATAGCTACAAGCTTTTCAAAAACGAAGTGCTAATCACATATTTTGGTTACATAGTTCGTGACGAAAAAAACTGGTGCTGCGCAGGACGAATAAAAATCGGTGCGCCGGAATAGCCCGATGAATTGAAGAAATGAGGGTAGAGAAGGGCGAGTTGAAGAAATGCTGGTAGAATGGTGGTATTAGTTACGAAATCGGCCACTAGATTTTATGAAGCAATGGCAATTTTTGGAGAATCAGTCATACCTTCTCAACTTTCTCAGGAGTTTGAGGTATCTCCTGTGATGGATTTTCAAGTGCTTCTGTCATTTCTTAATTTTTTTTGGAGAAAATCAGAAATTGGGTCTTCAACAGAAAAAAGTTTCTATTTGGCGCCAGTGAAGATGTGTTTGGAACATTGTCTTCCGTGCTCGCTGCGAACTTTTGCCCTCAACTGTTTCTTGTGCCGGAGAGAGGCACGCAAGGCGCTTAATACAGAGCGACGCACTGTGTCTGGTTCAAACTTCGACCCCCCCTGAAAAAACACACAAAAATAAATACCTAAGAATCCTCATTCTCCACCCTCACGGCTATTTCACTACTCCATAAATACCCTCCCATGAAACCCCCACAACTATCCCATCAACCCAACTACAAGCAGCTTAACTACGCTCCGCCCCCTCAACAATGCAGCACCGCAAACTAAGGCGAGTTCAGTCTCGGCAGCATCGCAGCCGAGAAGAACTCGAACTAAAAAGCAGAAGAAACAACGAAACAACACCAACAGCAGCGGAAGAGCACCCCCAGGCGAAGGCCGCTCATAATAGATCCACAAACAAAACGTCTTCTTCTGTGTCTGGCAGCCGCTGCCGGAGGTGCTGTACGCCGTGGGGCAGGGCGCGCTGGCGGTGGAGTGCCGCGAGGACGATCTGCGCGTGCGCCGCCTGCTGGAGCCGCTGCACGACGCGGCGACGGCGCTGCGCGTGCTGGCGGAGCGCGCCTTCCTGCGCACGCTGGGCGGCGGCTGCTCGGCGCCCGTGGCCGTGCGCTCGGCGCTGCGCGGCCGCGACCTGGCGCTCACCGGCGCCGTCTGGTCGCTGGACGGCGCGCGCACGCTGCGCGACCACAAGGCCGCCACGCTGCACTTCAGCGCCGACGGCGACGCCGAGCCCGTGGGGTGAGCCCTCGCGCACGCACGCACGCACGCACGCACACGCGCGCG